TACACCGGTCAACTCTGCACAGAGCTTCGCACCAAGTACCGTAGTATGCACTGGCGCGTAACACAGAGAGGCGACCGTTCACTGGGTGCGTCCATTATGAGAAAATAGGGAGAATGGGTCTTGTTCATAACATAAACATAAAATAAGGACGATTTCATTTGCATGTTTATGTCTTTTATTGAAACTCTAAGACGACACAAAAACAAGACAAGACTTTAAAACTGTTGAAGATTGAATTCATATCGATAATTCAATATCAAAGAGTTCACTAATTATATATCTAACCCCACATTCAAATGGAATATTCCTCTCTAAGGGTCTGAGGTTTATGACGAACAATTTTACAAAATCCTTTGTGTTTCTTCTTGGTCACTGCCAAATTACACAAGAAATCCATGATGTATCACCATTTAATTATCATTACTACAGTCTACATGTCTTCTTCTTTCCACATTTTAGGTTGAAACTCACATATTGATAGAAATAACTACACAAAATGGACAGGTTCGGAGAACATTCCGAGAGGAGACGTGCTGTTTCAATTCACATGCAACGCAAGAGTTCGCACGCTAATGTGTACGTCTATGGAACTCGTGTAGTGTGGCATATTTCATGCTCTTGCGCAAAAAGGAGCAAACATGAGAGACAGCAAATCATTGGATGCAAAAGTGCAACCTTTTCCTCTTATCCAATCAAAATGAATGATACATGACTGGAATTGTTGAACACTCTGCTTTAATTTGATATGCGAGACGGTGCAATTCGGCCATCGAATCAGTTCTATACAGCCAAGATGAGTATTGAGAGTTGACGAATTTGGGGCGAAAATCGGTTGACCTCCATAGATAAAGTGTCGTGAAAGGGTTTTTTGGAACATTTTTAAGCAAAAAGTGCAACCTTTTCCCATGAATGAAATTATTTCAAATTTATATCATCTTAAAGAGTATATATTGAATTTTAAAACACCGGCCGAGACGGTAATAAAAGTGGATTCAGTTAGGCTGTTGCTGTGATTTAGCGTAGGTAATGCATGAAATGGTAAGGAATTTCACGTGTTGTAGCTCACGGTGCGATGCGTGCGGAGCAGATGAACGAAAGTTTTTCATATGAGTCACCCATGCAGACAGATTATTATACCCGATGGTCCTACAGCCTTTTCACACACAGCTAAAATTCATCGTATCTAGAGATAATTAGTATAAACGTGTTTAACTCAACAGTTTTAAACATGTTTATAGAAAATTTTCCCTGTGTGAACATCGTTTATACGATGTTGGGATAGATAAGTCGCGATTCATACGCCCCTAAAAGCAGGCTGCAGAAACGAAGTTCGTATCTAGAGAGCTTGACATGTTGTGTGTGAAAGGTTAATCGTGTTTAAACGTGTTTCAGACGTGTTTAAACTGGATGGAGCGTGCGCTTTGATTGATATGACATGACCTTCAATGCGCAAGGGCACTACTGCGCATTTTACGAGCAGTAGTATCACGAAACGATTAACGATTGCACCGAAATTTCTGTGTGTGAATGATGTAGTATGTACACGTGATTAGTTTAAACACGTTTATACTAATCATGTTTATAGAATTTTAGCTGTGTGTGAAAAGGCTGTTAGTAAACAGAGAGTAATCATTTGAAATTAAGCAAACTATTAAGAAGATGAAGAACAAGGGGAAATTGGAGAAGACTCGTTCAGCGTTATCAGTAATTATTTTCTCTATGACCGAGGCATACATGGGCACATACTCCGTGGCAAGAAGGAAATAAGAGAGGAAAATAAGGGCAATTACAAGAGAGAGATCGAGAGAGAGAGAGGGTAGCCTATGGCCCGGGTTCAAATTCAGCTTTCTTTAATTTATTACAACCCGGTACTGATGATCATTATCTACCATGTGATTGCCATGTGTACACCACATCAAATAGCGCCTCAATTTTGTTTAGTGTTATAAAGAACTTATTGGCTTGTACCGTGTAGATTATTACCATGTGTTTGACCTTGCTATTGGTAACAAGATCAAACACATTATCATAATCTACAGGGTGCAACCAAACATATCTTAACAACAATTGAAATTTCTTTTAGGAAGCCAATAAAAGCTCGTTTTTTGTCTCGCCTGCGTAGCAAAAAGCGAGACATAGGCGCCGCTTTTCCGGTGACGGCGACGGCGGCGACGGCGGCGGCGACGGCGTCAACATCAAAAACTTAACCTAAGGTTAAGTTTTTGAATTTTTGATATAATTTTTAAAGTATAAGTTCTAAGTCAATGAAACTTGGACTATAGGATAATCAAGTATCCCCAATCATGTGAGTAGAATTTCAGATCACAAAGTTAAGGTCAAAGGTCATTTCAGGTCAACAGACTTGGACTATGTTGTAGCATCATCATCGAAAACTTAACCTAAGTTTAAGTTTTTGAATTTTTGATATAATTTTGAAAATATAAGTTCTTTGTCAATGAAACTTGGACTATACGGTTATCAAGTCTCCCCTATCATGTGAGTAGAATTTCAGGTCACTAAGTTAAGGTCAAAGGTCATTTAAGGTAAAAAAAACTTAGACTTTGTTGTGGCATCAACATCAAGATTTTCAAAATGTTTCTTCTTCGTTATTTTTCAACCGATTTTGATTCTGATTGTTTCATATGATAGGGCTAGGAAGGGGATTTAAAACTTTTACACAGAATCGTGAAATTCATTATCTATGCTAATTTATGCAAATTTATTCGAAATCACAAAAAATGCTTCTTCTCCTTCATTTCTCGACCAATTTTTATTTGGTTTGCTTTATCTGGTAGAGCTAACTTTGGTACACTAAAGTTCTACACAGAATTTTGAAATTGTTCTCCATTCATTAATTATGGTAATTTATGCAAATTTATTCCAAAAATAATTTAAAGATCCCATTTTTTATTTTTTTTTGACCAGTTCAAAAGTGTTCCACATAAAATTTACGATTTGTTGTTGTAGCGAGATGCGGATGAGCGCTACGTCATTGACGTTCTGGTTTATCATATTGAATTGCGTTATGCAGGCGAGACCGCCGAGAGGGTTTCCCTTGTTTAAATTTTATTGAAAGAGCATTCTAGAGAAGATAAACAAATAAGAATAACAATGGGACCGTTCCCTTCTATCTCACCCCGCCAAATAATCCAAACATAAGAATCAACAGAGGGGAGTCAACTGTTAAACGCCCACTGCACTACTTGAAGCTAGTTGCGCCCTCTATATAACAAACAATGCCTAATCGGTGACCATTGGTCCCCCATGATCCACTTTTTCTTGTGTTAACTGAGAGCTGAGTTGATGAGATAACCACCTGTCCAGTGACCTTGCAGGGCGATCTAATCCCTCCTGTAAACTATGGCAGATAAGCTTTAAACGAATTTATCAAGAGTTCTGGAAAGATTAATGAATACTGCTTGACATAGTAGTATTGAAGGGCAGCACTGAGGCGAACGATTGTGGCTAGTCGCTACAATAATTTAGAAATCATACTTGGATTGCTTTTCCCTAAAAATTACCATGAGATATCAAGCTCCATAGAACTATGATCGTCAAAAAATATACTGTCTTGAAAACATTCAACTAGAATGAATAGAACTTAAACCAAATGAATCAGACTGGAATGAATAAAACATAATGCAAATGAATAAGGCTAGAATGAATATGACAAAAGTTCATTTGACCATGTTTATCATCCAGTACCAAATACCCAAGCAAAATTCGAGCCAGATGCATATAAGGCCTATACAAAAAAGGATGTACTGCCCTTAAGGTGCCAAAACATGTAGTCGGTCGGATTTTTTTTTTAACTTTAACAAAAATGTACTCCCTCTTTGGGCTGATATTTCTCAGTAATTGAATGGGTTTTTTTTTTCTAAAACACGGTAAAAAGATTTAAAAAATAAAAGCCGATGGAAGATTTCAAGATTTTGGGGTCGGTCGCAAAGGGCAATACAACATATTTTTTTGTTAGGCCTAAGGTTAAGCTTAAAGACAAAGATTTATGACAAATTGTCAATTGTCATGATTGTACCATTGACCTTGATTGTACCGTGCGAGTCAACAAAAAGTTTACATCTAGAAAATTGCTAATTATTTCAAAAATCATCTGTGAACAGTAAGTTATCATACATCTAATGAAAGTGCGTTTTATCCCAAATCATTTGGTATTATTTTTGTGTGGTATGTGTTCACGCTTGGATAAACAGGAGGCAATAACTTTGCGCTGACGTCATCGAATTTTACTAAACTTTGCAGACAGTTGTCATGGGCTTGGATACATGTGTCTCTACAGTTTCATTGACGTAGGTATAAGGATCGTCATTTGAGAGCAGGTTGAAAGTTTTTTGTTTTTTCTTGAAATCTCACCGAAGTCGGCTTCATAATTATTCAGATACTTTTTTTCTTTTTTAATCTACTTGATACAAAAATGCAAACATTTCTTGGGATAAAAGCCAAACGGTTAATGTTTATACACTGTTATACTTTATGATGGAAATAGGCAGATACCTTACATGAAAAGAAAGAATGTGGTAGCAAGTTCAAAATCGATGAACCTTGACTACTAAAAGCTGATTAAAAAAGACAATAAATAAACCTCTCACCAATGAAAATAAACGGCGTGAAACAGAAAACATAGAAAGAGAGAGTGTGTGTGTAGCAACATAACGTGGTATAAATTTGAAAGTAACTGTAAAGGTGACATGTAATATTATTGTGCCCCCCCCCCCCCCCCCCGTTGCTCAAGCTCGGATTGACGCTTATGACAGTGATGTCTAGAAAGTAAACTGGTTTCCGTGCACAATTTGAATACTATAGGACGTTTACATTTCACAGATAGGATATACGTGATATATCATAATTCAGTCCTGCGAGTTCTACAGAATTTGATGTTGGCTGCAAATGGGACATATACATGCATAGTACCTTTACATTTATTTGTTCATTTATGCATTCATTTATTAATTCATCCATTGATTGATTTTCTTTTTCTTCAGGAAACATGACGCCATACGTCGTGTCATACATACGTAAACACGGAGAGAAAAGGACCTGACGTACCAGGTAAAATCCAATGCCCAATGCGCCGAACGAAGCGCCATTCAGTGCGCTTTAACTGCGTCAGCGGCTGCGCCTTTTGACCGTGATATCTTACAAAGAGGGAACGTAAGAGGAACATTGCGTTGAATTACTAATGCATGCTATATATTTTTGTATAGACTCTATTAGCCCAGGTATAACCTCCGGGTCATGATAACCATTCGAAATGAGGCCTTTTGTACAACGAACTTGATTAACACAAGGGAGCGTCCTTTTGATTGCGTTTAATGAAAGGGCTTACGCAAATGAGGTAATTAGCTTTAAAAGGCAATCCAACCCTTGCAATGAAATAAGACAGAAAAATAAAGAGCAACATATTGGCGAAAGTTTCAAATAAATCTGAAGAATTATAACAAAGTTTTTTTTGCCATGTTCTATTAGAAAGTTACTGATTTGAATGTATTTGCCATGTTCTATTATTACGTCACAGACTGTTACTAGTATGCTATTTGACATGTTCTTTTATTTCGTCACAGACTGTTATGTTATTTGCCATGTTCTATTGTTACGTTACAGATGGTCATCTTGTGTACTAGCCTCCTGTTTGCCATGGATAGTTTAGGTATCGTAGTAGGAACATGGATGGAGAAAAAATATGGAGTAAGAAAAACGATTCTTTGCGGGTCTCTTTTCTGCTGGTAAATACATTCAATTTTGTAGTATGATCTTGGAGGGGGGGGGGGGTGTTTCACAAAAATCCTAAGTTGAACTTATCTCAAAGTTGGACTCAATAATTATTATGGAAAGTCTTTAGCATCTTTAACAATGTTTTGTAAAAGTTATTTTAAACGGCATAAAATGTTGATTTGAATTATTCATATTTTCTTAATGTGGAATTTATGAAGAGTCTAAAATACTTCATTTAAAAATATAAAAAAATTATTTTAAGGCTACAAATGGCTCTCCATAATGTTTAAGTCCAACTTAGAGTTACGTTAGACTTAGGATCTTTGTGAAACATCCCCCTGGTTTCACTGGTACAATTAATTTGTGAAATATATTGATTCAAGTCATTTCGTTCTTAATTTGTAACTATTTAAATATACTTGTACTTGCTTGTTTTTTACTTTGTAAGGCGCATAGAGAAACTTCGGTTTATTATGCGTTAAATAAATCTATCTTTAGTATTATTATTATTATTAAATGAGTTAATTGTTCCCGATTCACCCAAAATCGACGGTATTTATATTTATGGACAAGCCCAAGATAATTTGTTCATCAGGTGACCCGGGGAATAGTCCAAAGCTCATTGGGAGTGCGTATAAACATTGATAAATAATATTATGGAAAAACTCATTAAACGTATATGATAATTACTGTTACTACTGTAACAATGTATTCACATTTGCATCATCCTCATCTCATCATCAATATTAAGTGTTGATAATATTTTTTATGTTATATTTCTTGTTGTTGTTATCATCATCCTTTAAAATATTGATATTATAATCGTTAACATTATTATTTTTTATACTATTGCTATCATTATCATCATCATTATCTTTTCTTCTTCTTTTCCTTCTTATTCTTTTATATTGTTGGTGCTAATATCATAATCAGTATTACATGTTTCTTTTTACAGGATTGGATTGGCAGCATCATTTTGGGTTATCCGCATCTCTTTTTATCTCTTTCTCTTCACCTATGCGTGTTTATTTGGTTTATCGAATGGTTGTGTATATATTCCTACTGTGATCTCTGGAATGAAGGTATGTGTTGCCCCAAATTTTGCATATTTCTCCCTAGACCAGAATCTGGCCTAGTTAATTTTGATCTCCATCATACCAACGCAATGCGACCCTCCCCACCTCCCTACTTACTTACTGCCAGCCGAAGATGGCGTGATCCTTAAAATTACACCGCCCGGCGAAAAAATAGGTTCTTCGACTGGCTGGACGTGGGCGTACGAGTTCGTTGATAACGCCATCTTTGGCAGCTTGAATCAATAATATTGTAGGGAGTATAAAGAAACGGACAGATTCTGGACTAATCCCCCCCCCCCCCCCCCCCCCCCCCCCCTCCCCTTCAGATTGGCAATAATTATATTTTTCGGTATAATGTCTTTGTAAGGATAATACCTAAGAAATAATGTTAAAAGGTGAAAATGTAAATAAATAACAATAACAAATCTTTACTTTGTCTGTATGTTGGTTAGTGTTCCTACTATCGTCTCTAGAATGAAAGTATGATTCTCACTTAATTAAGCAGATTCCCTCCTTCAAATAGGCAACGAAGATATCTTTTATAGCCGCTATACTGTAAACATAAATATGTTTCTAGGGAAAATATTCGAGGAATGGTGTAAAAAAAAATTGAAAATACCAATTTGTCCCCCCCCCCCCCCCAAAAAAAAAGAGAAGATTATTTCAATGTTCATAACGTGTTGTCAGTCGTCGTGAATCCATTGCCCAATTTACGTTCAGATTTGTGTCGTCAAACAATACGTTGTAAAAGTAAATTATTTTACCGCTTAACAAGTCTTTCTACATAATCATTCACTCTCATTCACTCTGAATTTAATGTCAATGCTCAAAACTAGAAGATTGGACATTAAAGGTTTGATGATACTATTTTCCTCTTAATGTCGAGATAATAATTGAAACAGATTTCACCTCGTGAATTGGCGAAAAGGCTGAATGGAACAATGTCCCAAAAGATGTAGAGTGAAAATAGAAGAAATTATTATTTACAACGGTAGATAGAATTCTCATCATCTGATAACAATAAATCGAAAGCTCTTGTGGAGTTCAATTTATACCTCTTGTGTATTATATTCCACATAGCCTTGTGAATTGACATATTCTCTATTAATATATATATATAATTAGATAGATAGATAAACTAGTTCCCGCCTGATGCTTTTTACGTGTTGCTTATTGTTCAGTGGTTCCCGAGGAGGCGTGGCTTAGTCGCTGGTACCCTCCTGGGTTTCTGTGGAATTGGGAGCGTCGCCTCAAATTTCATTCAGACTCTCTTTATCAATCCCAACAACCTCGCTCCCAACGAAGTCCGGACGGTAGGAGGAAGGGAAGAAATGTAAGCTCTCACTTAATTGTTGTTGTTTACCAAGGGAAGCCTCAATCAGCATCATTGAGAGTATAGATTTGTGGGTGAAATTTTAGCCTCTTCATTTTGGGGGAAAATTTATTTAGGTCAAGTATCTTTTTCTTTTCTTCAAAGGATTAACCCTTTCCTAGCTTTGATTGTTTAACGGGACAAGGAAGGGATTGTTGCAGTAATGTGGCATTCTACAATTTCTATCCACAGTGATTAAAGAATTAACAAACAAATAAATTTTTATAACGAACCTTGTTTGCATTTGGTAAGGTTATGCGCTTGTTATAAGCCCCATAATAATGTGTGGCATTCTACAATTTCTATTCACAGTTATTAAAGAATTAACAAACAAATCAATTCTTATAACCTTGTTTGGTAAGGCTATGCGTCGATTATATATGCCCCATTATGTGTGGCATTCTACAATTTCTATCCAGAGTGATTAATGAATAAAAATTAACAAACTAATAAATTCTTATACCGGACCTTAATTGTTTGATAAGGCTATGCGTTTGTTATAGGCACCGTTGTATGTTTAACTTGTGAATTGAGACTTCCTATCCACTTCTTCTTGTTTTTCAATGTGCAGATATTTCACGCAGGACTCGGTTCTGAACCGGACACCAGGTGCGTTCCTACTACAAGCCGGATTGTGCGCCATTCTGCAGATAACCGGTCTGTTGCTTAGCTGCGAGCCCCCTGATTATAATCTAGATAAGGAGGTGAGCCGAGGGGTCGTGGTATAACGCAATTTGTACCCCCCCCCCCCCCCCCAAAAAAAAGGGGGGAGTAGGGTAAAGGAGGAGGAATGCGACCAGTGACCTCTTCTTCTGCTTCTTCTTCTTCTTTTTCTTTCCCCTCTTTAAAGTTTTTGTTTTATTCTGCTTGTCACTTTTCCGGACTTGTGTTCGCCACTGCACACGAGAGTATATCCATTTAGACCCGCCCCCCAACTCAGTGTTATTTAGGGTACGCATAATTATGCATGTTCCCTCTTTTTGAAAACACCCCCTAAGTCCGGTGTGTAAAGTCATTACGGGCCGGATTTGTGTGTACTACGAGCCGGAAGTACCCCTTAATACCGGACATTTTGGTATTAAACACGCATGGTATCCCTCCGTTCACGGAGTGGGGGAGGGGGGGGGGGGCATTTAGATCACTCGACTTGAAACTCAGGTGGCTTAATAATTGTCTCCCATTAATTAAACAACTCTAAGAATATCACCTTCTCAAGTGATAAACTTTTTTGTTCGGAAGACTTTCAAATTATTGAATCCCTCGTTAACGAAATCCCGGATCCGCCTCTGACCCAACATGTATTGAATAATACTGGGCCCATGTGCTACGCAACTACAAATGATTTTCTTTCTTTCTTTCTGGCTGCAATGAAAGTTCACTTTTACTCATTTCTTGGTTGAATTCTTTTCCTTGTAATACAGATGCAAACTCTTCTAGACAAGAAAGAAAAAACGACATCTTCAGTTGGTGAGGATACGGGTGATTCCATCAAAAAGGAATCGTCGCCCGACATGGAAATGAAATCCTTGGTCACAAAACGGAAAGATCACCGTACACGAAACACTCCTCCATTACCCTCCGACGAGATTTTATTAGAAACAGATGGTCACAACGGCCGCCCTACCCGCACCCTTCAAGAGGGTGTGGTCGCCGGAGAGGGGCGGGAAACCACCTCCAAGAACGGGGATCCATTGTGGTCCGGTCTCTCGCTTGATGTAGGCCAAGTGATCAGACGGCCCTATATCTGGCTATTTATGGCGATGCAGGCGTCCTGTGTGTTAACTGGAGTGGCTTTCCTTGGCAGCTACAAGGTGAGACTTTTTTTCTTTTTTGTGTGTGAAAAAGTTAATGATTGCAAACATCTCAAAGTCACTCGCATTATTGATTAATCTATTAAATTTATTGATTGATTTGCTCATTTATTTATTTACCTATTAACTCATTTAATTATTTATTCTTTACTTACTCACTTATTTATTTATATATTGACTTATCCATTTACTTATTTATTTATTTATTTATTTATTCATTTATTTATTTATTTACTTAATTCGAGTCTTCATCCGGAATATAGCCTGTTCAGTTATCAAAATTAATATTCGTTTTGCGCTCCTTTTAACTAATATAAAAAAATTACTAAATCGGCCAAACGCAAATTACAATCCACCCAGTTTGACATATTGTAGTAGGAAGAGTAATAATAGTTAGATGAAGTAGTAGTAGAAGTAGAAGAAGAAGCAGTATTAGTACTAGAATTAGTATAAGACTTGATTAGATGTTTAGCTTGTTCTACTTGTTCTGCCTTAAGGTTCTGCTGCGGCTGCTGTTATTGTTTATTGTTTTGATTTATATTGTTTTTGTGTATGTTTTTTGTCTTCATTGCAGGCATTTGGTATAGGTTTTATCCGGGATGATGTAGTCCTTGCTACTATCGGTTCCACAGGTTCCATCTTTAATTTCCTGGGCCATTTCTTGACAGGCGTCATCATCGATCATGTTTCAATCAAGGTAAGTTTTAGCTTTGTAGAGGGTTATGAATTAACAAAAATATTTGTTGTTAACTCTCATCATGCCACAGGGCTAATCCCCATTGTGCCAATCCCCAAATCCCGCCATGCCAAGTTTATTTTGAGATAATCTGAATAACGCAATGGTTCTATGGATAGCGCGTGCGAAACACACAGCACAGGTCAATGCGCATGAACAATAACTGCTATTACGAATGCGTGCAAGCATACACAAGGCAGCGAAGCAATAGCTCGCTCGCATGTACAAAGCACTATAACGGTTGCGTGCATGCAGCCTTGATCCAGGGAAGCCTCATCAGCATCAATGTTGTTTTTGTGGAGGCCCTGCAATTGCTATTACCCCAGCAATTGCCAGTTACCCGTTTACATCTGGATGGAGAATGGCAAATGTGCGAAAGGACCTTTTAGCGCTGGGCTGGTATTCGAACACTTAACCTTATAGGATGGAGAATGACGTGAATGAACCACTATACCACGACATCTCTAATTTGTCATATTTCATTTTTGTATATAGCACCCCAATGAAACCTAGGAAATGACTGTTTCGATCGTAGTCCCCTCTTTTTGTGTATTTTTTTTATTTGTTTTATTAATTCATTTCTGTTTTCTTTTTCTTCCAGGTTACCTCCATTATACTATGTGGTGTCACGTCAGCTTCGCTTTTTCTTGCCCCAGCCACATCTCTAGGAGGGGGAGTGGCACCCTTCCTGATAGTGGTCTGTGTTGTACTATTCGCATTAGGAGGAGCATACTCCGTACAACCAGTACTAGCTATAAGGTAATTATAAGCCCCACTCTCTCTCTCTCTTTATTTGTCTCTCTCTCTCTCTCTCTCTCTCTCTCTTCTCTCTCTCTCTCTCTCTCTCCCCTCTCTCTCTCTCTCTACTTTTCTCTCTTTCTCTCTCTCTCTCACGCGCGCGCTCTCTCTCTCTCTCTCTCTCTCTCTATATATATATATATATCTCTCCCTCTCCTCTCTCTCTCTCTCCCCTCTCTGTCTCTATCTCTATCCCTCTTTCTATCCCCCCCTCTCTATCCCCCCCTCTCTCTCTCTCTATTTCTCTTTCAAGAGCAGAAGAAACTGTTCAACTGATTTGTTTCTATATAAAGACTAATTACACTCGGTTTGAAAATGTTGAATAAAAAAAGAATGATTTTCTTCATTATCATAATATTTGTGGGCAATTTTTAGGCTTAAAAAAAAAAATAATAATACTTGAGTATTCATTTTCATGTTATCTTCGTAAGTGATATAACTTTAGGCAGTGGGCAGCTAGCCTGGGCAGCCCATGTTGATGGGGGCGCCGTGGTCATAGGGGAGTCCTACTCCGAGTACATGACGGCCGTACGAGGGAACAAGGCGATCGGGGATAAGAAGAGGGTGTGGGCGGGGTGCGGTGGGATGGTATCACCCCCTTTTCATGTTGCTTTTCCCATCTCCCTTCTTTGGCACGCCACCCACCCCCCCCCCCCCCCCACTCTCTCTGGCCCCTGACCACAGCCAAGGGTACATTAATGATTTTAAACTGTAATATCTTTTAATTTTTTTTATTATTATTATTTTACATAGGGCATACGGGGAAGAACACTTTGCCGGCAACTTTATTTTAACTACAATGCTGGGTTTTTTTCTGCCAAATATCCTTGCGATTCTTGTGACAATTCTTCAGAAATTTTTGTCCTGGACAACAATATTCATCTTTTATGGATTAGTACCCGGACTCGGTAAGTAGGTCTATACAAAAAAGTAAATTTTAGACTTTATATATTTCAACTTTGTTCACTAAGAATCAAAATGTGTTCACAGGATTGTGCTGAATTCCATGAAAAGATGTATTTATTTTAGGATAATTTGCGGATATAAGTTGCTTTAGTTGAAGTCCTTTATTATAGACATGATCTCTTATGACACGATAGATGATAGGCCTACATACATGTACATAATATTAAATCGATTTATATATTTTAAAAAATAACTGAGAAAGGATTCGAAGTACATTAACTAATCGTAGATAAGTTGTTCTTGCAGTGGAAGACCTATAATAATTATGGATTGGAATATTCTTTTTTTAACTCATGAAGTTCGCTGAAATGCCAATGAAGTGGGTTATTTGCAATGTAATTCACCATAATGGGCCTTTTACTTGCGCCCTGATTAGACATATTTCAATATTCCTAAATAGATGAACTTAATTGAAAATGCTTAGTAAGAGAGTGAAATCAGTCCAAAAACTCTTAAATTTTAAACTCTCAAGTTTAAAAAGCAGCTAGTTACACACAATTTCTTATCATCGATTTTGTGTAATAGACGAATAACATCTAATGTTAATCAGTCTGTATATGATATCTTTTTCTTCAATTTTGTATATTAAACTTTTTGTATATAGCTATGTTCGCCGGCATGTTCATGAACTTGAAGAATCAACTGGGCCAGGACATCTGACGGACCGACTGCAATCAACATGGACCCAATGCCGCTGAGGGCCTCGGAACTAATATGTATATATAATATATATATATATATAGAGAGAGAGAGAGAGAGAGGGAGAGAGAGAGAGAGAGAGAGAGAGAGGAGAGGGGTGTCAACCCTTCTTTGGGAACTGAACGAATATACGCACATGTACCCACGCCGCCTATAATAATGTGCATTTGTACATTTATTTAATTAATCACATATGAATAAATTTGATATTTTAAGACTAAATTACAAACAGTCAATCGAAAGTTGGGATAAATCGTGAATGCCACCAATGAATTAGAATGCTTAAAGTACACCGTCGCGACATCAGAAAATCGTTGCGCCAAATCGAATGACCAAATAGTGAAAGAAGCACATTGTTAATTAATTTGAATGAATCATACATAGATTCTCACGGAAACTTCATAGATTTGAAAACTAGAACAAGGAATATAAACCCAAGGTTTACCTGACAGGACACTAAATACTGACAGCACTAAAACCATCGAATTTGAAAGCAAGACAAATTCATTTTAATGACAAACTCGCGAATTTGACCGGGTAATCCTATATTATGCTTCAATTTAGTGTAATGTTTAGAAATATTGTATTTTTGAAAGTAATCCAAAATCGCAATTATCAAAGGCTCTTCAATGTTGCACTCCGTGATTTTAACAGATATACACATGATTATATATGTTTTTTTCTTAATGTTAAGTGAATGTTTATGAAATATGTATTCAAATCCTCTAATAACGTTAATATTGTTGTTGAATGTGTTTATAATCATGTTAATAAATCTTTTTATTGTTGTTTATGTTGAACTTGAGAGAGAAAAAAACAACAAAAAATTATATATAAAGTGAGTTTTCTGCTACAAACAAACAAAACTTTAATTTCCCTGATTATCTGTAGTTACCAATGATCCAATGAAAACAATGAATGGGTTACTCGTTTGTGCATCAGTTCGAATCTTCTAAAGAGTGCTTGAACCTGAAACCTAACTTTCATCCGATAAAATGACATGTACCGTGCACTATTGTCTAAAACCAAATTTGACACATCAAGTGTTGAAGATCTCTCTGAGAGACAGGAAAGTGTTTTATTATTTTAGTTTCAAACGAATTATTGTTTTTGTGATATCATAAGGTTTATTAATGTTTACACACTAGTTAAATACAGCGATGACGCTGAACAGATTATATATACTATTCTTATTCACCTCCCTATCTTTTCCTTGTTCGCACCCATTACATGTAATTCTCAGTTAGTAAATTCTGAATGGTGATATATCTAGATGTAAGAATGCAACCAAAAAATGAAGCTCCTGGTAACTGATAAGCTCCTTACACCAATGTATTCAGGTGATTATTATAGAAAGAATGAGAAAAGGAGAGGAGGTGAAGAGAGAGAGAGAGAGAGAGAGAGAGAGGGGGGGGGGGGGGGGGGGGGGGGGGGGGGGGGGGGGGGGAGGGGAGGGAGAGAGAGAGAGTTTAGAGAGAGAGAGAGAGAGAGAGTTTAAAGAGAAAAAGATAAAGAGTGAGTGAGTGAGAGAGAGAAAGAGAGAGAGAGAGAGAGAGAGAGAACGATGAATCTCAATTTACTTGAGGCTTTAACATTTTGCACAGGTTAGTCCATAATTATAATCTATACAAAGAAAAAGGCCTAGATGCTTATTCACTGGGATGTGCGAGCAATAATAATTATGTAACATAATTTGTGGAACTAGTATTAATTTTGTTTGTTTGCCCGATCCTTCTTTTCTCCCTGTTTAAAAATTTAAAAAATATATTTACACACACACAAAAAATCTCGTTGTTTCCATTCTCTTTCCCGCTCTTCCGAGCACTTCTCCCCTACCCCCTTTTTAAATTCTGTATTATATACACTTTACACTATATCTCTTTCCATCTCTCTAAGCTGACTGTCTCCCTCTCTCCCACCATTCCTCTTCCTCTCTTTACCTCTATTGGTCCTCATATATCGATATATCCCTTCCCCTCTCTTTCACTTTCTTTCTCCCTCCTCGTTCTTACTCTGTAGAGTAATAATTACTAATGTTTCACACCTAAATATCACGGATTCACAGCTAAGATTAGTAATCAGATTTAGCCACGCGATCATCACCAAGAAAGTTATCAACTTTGAAACCATTTAAAAAGGTGTTTTAAGACACATAAGAATTACTAATTTTTCACACCTAAAAATCACGGATGCCCAGCTATACGCGCTTCGTTCAGTTGGGTCACGTGACCAATACTTTAATCAACATTGATTAAACTTTACTGTGGGAATTTTGTTTTTAATCCATGCTGGATTACAATGGTTGCCAACGTCTTAGTCTTAACCAACATAGTTTGAGGAAAAGTTTTGATCAACACTGTTTTTAACCAACGCAAGATTAAAAGTAAATTTTAATCAACACTACATTTTTAACCATGGTTGAGCGATTTTTAATCAACGATTTTTTTAACCGGCAGTTTTTTAATACTTGTTTTAACAGTGTAATCCGTTTGAGTCACGAGATCATCACCGGCATGGCCGTAGCCAGAGTTTGATGTTGTACGTTGTTGTTGTTGTTGTTTTTTTTTGGGGGGGGGGCGGGGGCACATACATGTAGGCCTAATCGATCGACGTCCTGGGGAGGGGTCTAAAAAATTTCAACCGATCTTGGAATTTTTTTGGGGGGCACATACGTGCCAACTAAGTAAATAGGGACTTTTAGATTTGCGTGGACTGATACGTGTGACGTCCTTTCAAGGCAGTGCATTAAAAGGACGTCGATCGTAGCAATCCCCATTGTCTTCGTGCGAATCTAAAAGTCCCTCATGATTGACTCAATTTGTAAAGCCACCCCTTTTCCTTTTCCTGTTCCTTTTTCTTATTAGTATAAGGGCTATAGTTTCGCGGCTAACCTCACTCTCCTAAAGCTTGCGTTGGGGGGGGGGGGGGGGTGAGGGGTTTGTTCATGGGGTAGGCTACTGTTGAATTTGCCTTCGGAAAGATGGATGCAAAAAATAATACAAATACCATGAGCTATACCTATATAAATCCCGAATTCCTCCAATCGTATATAGGTCTAGTCTAAATTTACATAGGCCTACTCTGATTTCACAAGTATAACATCTTAATTAATAACCGTTTCACTCTTTTCAGTGATAGATCTACAATGTCTTTACCATTTTACATCACAGGTTGTGTCAACACAGAAATAATATTGGGCATATGAACAAATTAGTCTGCAATTAAAAAAGTTTAGCGCTAGCTATTAAATGCACCAACGAAATGCCAATGATGCCATCTCCTATTCAAATGGCCACGCGGTACAATGTTAGGCCATACACTACACCGCGTGATGTCACTCATAGCGACCAAATAACGCTGTGTTGCCAAGTCTCTCGGACACACAATAACAACCGGTTGAATGCATAGTGTGTGTGCTCGCATATTACGTGTACAACACATGCAAAATCGTGAAGAAATTTGGAACCGAATGCAATAGGAGCGCAAGCAACACATGAGATAAAAACCTTCTCGGACTAAGCTTTGGTGGAAGAATAACGAATTCAAGTGATATTTCAGTGATACAATGTCTTTACCATTTTTACCAGGAAATTCCTTCAACCCAAGGGTAAGTTTGATGTAGAAAATGACAAAGAAAAGAGTGAAGTTGACGACTTGAGCTGAGCCGAGTTGAGTTGAGCAAATGTTGAGCGAGAGCTTCTGGCGCTGGCTGAGGCTCGAGTTTGTTTTGTCTAACACATCGAGTGACCTGGGGTGGTGGTATTCTGAAAACTATGTGTAAAATCTAGACTACGGTATGACATGTTTATGTTTTGACACTTGCATGTGTTATTGTTAACAAAATGATTTTGATTCAGATTGTCGTTAAAAATTAAGGCAGTCATTCATTGGTTAACTTCATCAGACATCGATCAGTGTGCATCTGGTTTTTATAGTAGGGTCTAGACCCTAGGCCTAGAATCCTAGATTCCTAAAGCTGAAGACATTATACTAATATTCACTTTCTCACAGGTTTCATGCAAACCGCTGCACAATTACAATACAATTGCAAACCGTACCGTACCGACGGAGGGGTGCGGGCTCACGACACTAGCGTGCATGAAGTTATAGACTGTTCACGCACGCTCGCTCACGCGCCCGCACCATGGCCCTTCGTCGGTACGGTACAGTAGACCCTATGCATTGTTGACCTGTAACTGCAGCGTGGAGATCAATACCCTACTAAAACATATCCAAAATGAAGTGAATATTCATTGAATGTCCAAATAAAAATCATGATTTAAAAGTCGATAGGCCTACATATAAATTTGTTACTTTTTTCGTGTCAATTTTCACATCTTTTTCAGAATATTTTTCCTCAAAATGAAGAAGTAAAATATGCACTTTTTCACAGGATTCACGGCAAACTGCAGCACAATACAAAACGACACAATACCAACGGTACATATATATATATATATATGCACAACCTCAAAGTACGAAGATACACCAACAACATGGTGGCCTGTACTTCAACAAAAGAAGAAGTGTTCAGTTAGCGACCGTAAACTAAGATTAAAGCGTCCTGACACACAACCCCTATCATATGCGTAGCCGCATACTAGAGTAGATCTAGTCTCTTCTAGATTTCTACTCTGATCTTCGTTAAGGCTCGTTCAGATATGAAGCAGTAAACTGGACTGGTTTTGCCTGGTTGAGATCTACAGTCAAGTAATACAAAATTGAAGACCTGTTCTAGAAAAAATAATTATTAAATTGGTAGTTTTTTCCATATTTTCTTTACGAGATTCAGAGAGTCATCGCAAGTCAAAATCAAAAGTTAGATATATTATTAAGGCACAGGGATTCCTACTCGAGTTGAAATACCGGTAAGTTGAATGAGATTTAGCTTGGCATTATTTTTTTCATTTATTACATATTTTCTTTTCAGTTGGGGAGAGATAAATTCCACAAGTCACAGCACTTTGACTACAGCAATGAAGTGCCCATGTTGGTCGGAGGACACAAGCCTGGCATCGGAGGAGACAAACTCCTGGGACAGACATCTCAGCCCCAGACGAGCAACATACCCCTTGGCCAAGGCAACGCTTCCCCAGCCTGGGTGGCATTCGACAAGCAGGTCCTGCATTTCGATGCCTTCTTCCAGGAAGCCGTCCATGAGATGAGACAGCAGTATCGCATAAGGAAGTGCAAGATCTACTTCTACCTGGAAGACGATTCCATTCAGGTCATTGAACCTCTGGTTGAGAACAGCGGCATCCCACAAGGTTCGTAAATTAAAGATACTCTGTCCCTTTTGCAGCCAACATCAAATTCTGTAGAACTTTGCAGGAATTATGAACAATTATGGAAATACACCAAGTAAAACCTGCGCTTTGAATACAGCACACCCCCAACTACATTAATATTGAATCTGGCTGGGGATCATTCCAGCCAATGATAGTTTAATTGAAACAAAAATAATTCTATCAAGTAGTGAGTCTCATGAATAAAAAAGTTAGAAACTTAAAATTTAAGAGAGAGTTGAGATTCTAAGAATTTTCCACTTGATTTAAAGTTTCATTGCAATGCAGTGGACCCCCCCCCCCCAACCTATATTTAAATTTTAAAAAATGAAAAGAATTCGGTATAGAAATATTTTTGTATCATAGATTTAAGTCAATTTAGTACATTTGTCAAAATTAAACAGAAGAGGATTTTGATCAGTTAATTCAATTAAACTTCCTTAATTTCATTTTACAATTCTGTACATTACTTGCATTTACAGGAACCCTGATTAGGCGGCACCGCATTCCCCTCCCACCCCCCAACGATGACCAGTTCTACACGGTGGAACACTTCAACGTCGATCAGGAGATCACACTCTACGGACGAACATTCAAGATCACCGGCTGCGATCAGTTCACGTACAACTTCCTCAAGAAACTCGGAGTTCGCATCAAGGCGCCCGCTGAAACACCAAAAGATCCCTATACCGGTTTCAGGAAAGGCGTAAGTACAGCATGAATTTTTCATTTTGAAGAAAAAAAAGTATAGTCTGTTATCAATGAAACAACATCAGAGTTTTCAGGTTGGGAGCTAGTAGTCTATTGTGGAGGGTTATTTAATCCGTTATGAAATTGAGTAGCTTTAAATCTTACAAAAAGGAGCCTAGTATTTTAAGTGAGTGATGGTATTATCTATAGAACATATCATATCTTTTATTTAAAGCCTGTGCGCACTAGTTTGACCAGGAGGGATGCCTGGTCACTGACAGGTGGTTATCTCATCAGATCAGCTCTCAATTAACATAAGAAAAAGGGGAACATGTGGGACCAACGGTCACCGATTAGGCATTGTTTGCTATATAGAGGGCGCAAGTAGCTATAAGTGCAGTCCCACTTTAAGTGGAGGGACTTCAGTTGCCGTGAATTCAAATAGCAACTTTCTCGTTGATGACGTATTATTTATAGGAGGTAAATTTTAATACATAATTGTGCATCAAGAGTTTGGGTATCTTCAAAATTGTAATTGATTTACGTAATCTAGCTGAAAAAATCATGAATGATTAATAGCACTAGACACAAATATATGGAGTTTAGCGAATTTTAGCAAATAGGCCTACATTAAAGCCCCTCTGCACAAGTTAGGCCAGGAGGGATTAGACCTCCCTGCCTGGTCACTGACAGGTGGTTATCTCATCATTATCAGCTCTCAATTAACATAAGTAAAAGGGGAACATGGGGGACCAACGGTCACCGTTTAGGCATTGTTTTCTATATAGAGGGCGCAATTAGCTATAAGTAGTACAGTGGGGCTTTAATTTATGTCTACATTACTTTTCAATACATCCAAATTTTCATAATATTTTTTCAGATGGATGAAGCCCAACAGCCGTTACGGCCATACGAGAAGGTCGACACGCTCAAGCAGTTCCTGGACCACGACCGCCACGTGCTGCGTTTCCTGTGCTTCTGGGACGACCGTGACAACATGTTCGGTGACCTGCGAGAGTTCTACCTCCACTACTTCCTGGCAGACGACACCATCGAGATCAAGGAGATCATCCAGCCCAACGCGGGCCGCGACAAGACCCCCATGTTCTTGAGGAGAGGGCGCATGTCAAAGATATCCCCTGAATCCCTGAGACAGCCCGGCGAGATCACGGGCAGGACCGTACTCAACGTCTTTGGACCTACTGGTCACGGAGGGAGGTACATTCTAGACAGTTTGAAGGTTAGTTTCTCAGCTAGTTTATCAGTTTAGATACAAGTTATAGTAGTAGACTTTATTAGGTACCTTGCTAAGCACAGGGCAACCGGCCGCAAGGTCCATTAAACAAATCGAAAAGAACAATATGTAAGCATCGGTGAGTGCAGATATTGTCATATGAGCTATTATTAGTTGCCTTTTTCAGGCATCATAGTGTAGAATGCATGGGGTCCAACATGTTGCAGTCAATTTTTAGGCTAATTATTTAAAAGCTACTGGTATACTTGTTCCTTGAGAAGAAACCAAAATAAGAGTACTATCCACTGACCATTCATTTATTCTCAATTAAACAAAATAAAAAGTATATATTTTTTACATTTTGGCTTGCTTGATTATACTTCTTTTCTTTTTCTTTTTTCCCCCAATTTTGTCTCATATGTTCAATTTCATTATAAAATAAATTAAAATAAATAAACTGTATAGTACACTGGTTGCCTAGATCTGGCTGACTTTAAAAAGAAAAGATTTGAATATAATTTTCAAAGTTTGCTCATATTCTATTGGTTTTAAATATAAAATACAAATTTGTAAACCACCTTTACAATTTTTTCTTGCTTTTAGACCGGAGCTGTTCACTCTGAATTTTACATGGAGAATGACCTGACGATCGGCAGCACCATCAACGCCAACGGACGTTGGCTGACTCTGGCCGACTGCGACGATTTCACCAAGGAATACTACAAGCAGAAATACGGTGTCAGTAAGTACCCTTAGAATATGAATTTAGACAATGTTGTACAAATTCAAATAAGATATTTAACGTAGAGACGTTTGTTTCAAATCAATGTACATGCCGAGGGGTCAGTGACACAAAGACGTAACTCCATTTTGGCCATTTTGAGAAAAAGTGATTTATGTGTCACTGAGCACTTGGGCCCTAAGGAGTTAAGTCTATGTTTCACTAGCAATTGACTTCAATGGGGTGTTGGGTGGAGTTAAATCTTTGTATTTCCCGAAAAGGCCACATTTTTCTGAACATTTTGATATCAAATACTCATTTTGACAAGATATGGAGTTACGTCCACAACATTCCAAATCGTGGACTATCACAGTTGACTTTCGGCACACATACAAGTTTATCAACATCACATACAAGTTTATCAACATCACATACTATAAAACAAATGTGGTTGTCCATTGTTTTGCTCCTGAGCTAATAAAGAGTTACCGGTAATGCTGGTTTCATACATACATGTACACTGCTCAAGCAAAATGAAAAAGAAAAAAATTGTAGACAGTAGGTGTTCTTCATATACAGGATATAAGAGCAGGTCTGCCTGTATCAGAAAAATAAAACAAACATTTCGTTTGTGATTTTATGAAAGTTGGTTTAATTATTTGATTGTTTAATTGTTTTCAGAGATTTTATGATGTAGCACCGATTTACAGAAATATTATTGAACAGTTGTTTATTTTCAAAGATGTTTGGGACAAAGTTTCCCATACCCCATCTGTTTTTCATGCACCTACATGTAAGTTTATATCATTAATTTGTTTTATTTATTCGTTGTATCGCAGATGACTACAGTCCAGTTAACTACAGGAATGATCCGGCAGGAGCTAATAAGCGTCACTGGCCTCCGTACACAGGCTTCGGCTCTGAGGAGGACTCCCTCTGCTCCTGCATGGGGCTCCTGCCAAAGCCTCCACGTCGAGACTTCATCAAATTCATGGAGAAGGACAGGTAAATACCACGTTGCTTGCTTGCTTCATCTAGAGTAATCGTTTCCAAAGCTCTTTGGAAGCGCATAGAGATGTTATTTCATAATGTACAATGCGCTATACAAGAACTGAATATTATTAGTAGTATTATATTCCAACAATGTGCAATTTTGTTTGTTCAACTTCAAGTGGGTTGTATCAATGTTTCATTTTATGAATTGCATTATGTGGCTTATTCCTATGAATGATCAGTTCATACAACATTGATGAAATTCCAACGATGGGTGATTTCACACGTTCAATTTCATAGTATTGATGTTTCAATTTTTGAAGTGCATATATAAGGCTTTCTTGCATACAAAGTTAAATTTGACTGAAAAATAAATTATTGATGAAGGAAAATAAGAAAACTATTATTCAATAGTGGTCTACCACATAGAACGCACGTACATGTATTTGTCTGAAGTATTGTACCTGTCATTGCATCTGTATATATAATTGCCAATAACTTGATTTTTTTGCAATCTATAGGCATGGGCTGGATAGCAACGTTATTCGTTTTGTTGCTCGTCTTGACACCACCAAACCGATCGACGTCGATCGCCGCTTCATCATCTCATACTTCTTGTCTGACGACACCGTCGCTGTCTTTGAGCCTCCTGAAAGGAACTCTGGTAAGGACAGAAAAAAAAAAAGACTTGATGTTTTATTTTGTAGATCAGGACATCCGGGAAAAAATGTACCTACCCCCTGCAGCTCAGAAGCTTAAATGGAATACAAGTGTAACAATTTGAATGTAGAATATAATTTTAATGCAGGAGATATGGTGTATGACTTTTTAGTGATAATGTAATTAAACTCAATTCTCTACTTATTAGAGTAGAAGGGACTATCAAGATATCTATTTCAGAGACAGAGAGAGAGAGGGGAGAGATTAAACTCAAAATAACCAAAGTTCCCTTTCTTTTAAAAATAATAAGTACATATGAAAGTTTTATGAATCAAAATGGCATACATTAATTCAGTAAATCAAACTGCGAGGGTATTTCATTCAATAAAAACTGAAGCTAATCATACTGTTCACTACATGAAATGAAGAATTTCAACATTTGTGCTGCAACACTTTGGATAATGCTTTTCCGTCTGTATATCTGTAGATGAACTGAAAAATATTTCACATTAAATGATGAATATACAAAATGTATATTCTCAAATGTGAATGTGTAAACATATGGACTCACTTTATTTACTTGCTATGACATTAAAATCAAACCCACTGTACCTTATGAAATACATTAAAAAAATAAAACTCAAGAAAGAAAGATTACTCCCGATCCTCCCCCTCTCTCACATGGTGCAACCGCAAGCCTACTGTATAAAAAAAAGATGTAATGTGAGGATGCAACTAACAGTTAGCAACCTCTTCCCCAGGCATCATTGGAGGCAAGTTCCTGGAGCGTGGCCGCATCAAGAAGCCCAACCAAGCCAGGTTCGGAACGGAACTCTCCGATTACTTCACTGCCAGGGATCTCTACGTTGGTAGTCGTCTCAATTTCCATAGCTTCTTCTTCGTCCTTATCGATGCGGACGAGTACGCATTCAGATACATGGAGAAGCACGCAGAAGAGGTAAGCAATTAAGCTACATCTACTAGCACGTTGAACGATGATCTTCGTGGCATCCTGGGGAGTGTTTCACAAAGACTAAGATCAGCTTGAAGTTGGATTTAAATATGGCAGGTCGTTCATGCTACTGTTCGCTCTTGATCACCATTATGATCTTTAGAAAAGCAATATGTATAGCACCATATGTGCTGAGAAAATTTATAAGCACCGTTATGATTTTGACCCATGAATAAAAAATGCAGGTCATGATTTAGTTATTTGATGTAAATACATGTCTGTTTTCCTTTATTCTGTATTACTACTGTCATCTACCCCAAAGTCAATATTTTTCTCTAAATTCTGTACAAGAATGTTGCAATAGAAAATCCTGAGTTTATGATTTGACTTGACGATTAGAATTTCCATTTGATGTGTTTTTATTTTTGAATTGTAAATGTTCTTATTTTTAAGCGTATTTTTTTAATTAAGAAATTAGAATTCATGTGATTTGAGACTTGTGTACCACAATTTCCTGATGTTGCTATGAAATTTGAGTTGAACGTTCATAATTTGATATTTCTGTCATCTTTCCAGTTTCCCATGTCAAACATTGGCTTCATCTCTCAGAAGATTAGTACCATCGCTTCGCAACACAAGGAGAAGATCAAGGAGTTCCTCAACCGCAACGATCCCAGCAATTCGGGCCATCTGGAATTTGATCTGTTCAGGTTTGTTGCATTCTTTGATTGACCATCAGTTGAAAACAAATATTGTGCGCTATTAGCACTTGATTTGATTCATTTAATGTTATCTTGAATTGTTGACGGATGTGGATTGGTATGTGTGCTTTATTTATCACTATGAGAACATTAGAAGAATAAGAGAGAGAAAAAAAGAAAAAATATCAAGGTAAAAGATGCAAGATAGAACAAAAGAGGGAGAGAGAGAAAGAGATCACATGTTTTATGTGCATCAATTTGAGAGCAGAGACGCAAAGAGAGAGAGAGAGAGAGAGAGAGAGAGAGAGAGAAAGTGACAGAGGCTGTGCATTAAATGATTCTAAAATTGTAACTCTAGAACTTGGAAAGAAGCGACAAACTAGCAATAGTAGAGAACCAATACTTTGTCTATTCTAAAACGGACAACCTTTCTAAGATTGATAAGATTTCTTTAAAGCCCCTCTCCATTTTTTTGTCCAGGGGGGATTAGACCTCCCTGCAAGGTCACTAACAGGTGGTTATCTCATCAAATCAGCTCTCAATTAACATAAGAAAAAGAGGATCTTATGGAGCAATTGTCATCGATTAGGCATTGTTAGCTGTAACTCTAAAAATTGAAAAGCGGTGACACACTAGCAATAGTGGAGAGATAAAACTTTTGTCTATTCTAAAACAGACAGCCTTTCTAAGATTGTTAAGATTTCTCTAGGCATCCTCCTTTAGAGATGTGCACCCCTTTGCAAATTTCAAATTGTTTTCTCTCGGTTTGTTGACATCAGGAACCTGCTAGTACAGCTAGGAGGAAGCCAGCTATCAGAGCACGAGATCATCGTGCTCGCTCGGTACTACAGCGATACCCAGGACGTGAAGCTGAGCGTGGAGACGCTGGTGTCCATCGTCCAGGAGCAGCTGAAGAAGAACAGCTTTGAGAACTTTACCAAGCTCCTGGAAGGCTTCCTGCAGCACGACACAGATAAGAGTGGTTACCTTGACGGGGCCTTGGTCCGCAGCACCTGCAATGCTTTCCATCTGCCGCTCCCTGATGACCTCCTTAGAGCACTCATCTCAAGGTAAGATAACGACAACAATAATAATAATAATAATAACAGCTAGTTCTTACATAGCACTTTTCAGGACCGAAGGCCCTCTCAAAGCGCTTTACAGATATATATATATTATTACGCCGGTCATTGGATTCAGGCTTACCCGCACACAATGTATGCACTGTCTCCACTCCCTGGGGAGTATTCCAGCCAGGCGTCATTTTTACAAGTGCACACTTGCTAATCTAAGCACATTAGCTTTCGCATCTGACCGGGTACCCATTCAACACCTGGGTGGAGAGTGGTATTTATAGACAGGTTTCACTCCATTCATCATATTCTCTTCTATGTAAAGACTAGAAATAGCTTCTTCAGTTTTTTTCTTGAAACAGAAACTGCAGCATGTATTAAATGTGAAGTTTGTTACCATTAAAAACATTTTCTGCCCAAGTGAGGAGTGTAATTGGAAACTCATTTTAAATCGTGACATTTAATTTTTTGACACTGTTGGTATAAAGATTGATTGCTGTATCTGTAATTGTTTAAAATAAAAAGCATGATAAAAAATATCCCAGTTGATCCCAAATCTATATCTTTATCTATATCTATATCTATATCCCTGTAAGAATTGTTGTCTTAACTGTATTGTACCTTTTTATTAAAAGAAAGGATTTCTAAAGGCTCTCCACATTTTTGTTTACCCATCTCAGACTTGAAGCAAACGAAGATGGTCTCGTCAACTACAACGCCCTCGTCACTTATCTGAACTGGCGTGACCACCCAATGACCACCGCTCAGTACGTCGCACCGCCAGCCAACTTTGATGAGTCGTGGACCGGCAAGGACAACGGCGACCGCGTAAAGAGGGTCAACTACATCGCTCTGCTCCAGTCAATTTTCCCAGACATGTAAAAAAAAAAAAAGGACTATTTGACACCTTATTGTCACTGAACAGAGTATCTAAGACTTGCACCCTTTTGATGATCCTGTCCTTAGCTTGTTGCATGGAATGTCAATACCGGTTTAGATAGTTTGCTGAAGATTTCAATATTTACATTTGGAAAAGTAGCATATGTTGTGCATTACTTTGGTTGAAGGAGGCAAGATAGAACACGATGTAAAAGAGAAGGGGAATTCACTTTTTCTTGGGTTATTGTGACAATACATGTAGCACACTTTTTAATCAAGCTGAGAAGGAAAGCCAATATAGACTAATACAGATAGCCGAACATATTCTTACGAGAAGAAAAAATATATTCAAAAGAGTTTTTTCATTTACCATGAATTTTAACCATGGATATAATCACTTGAATTTTTATGCTCCATTGTTGCCTTTGATTAACTTTTCGCAACGAGTTGCTGGAATTTTTTCTCAACTGATCCGTCCTTCTAGAAGCCGTTATGCATTATAGTATTCATAGAAATCTTATACATTCCGTCTATGCACCTCATACTTAATATTTGATTAACTTTGATTAACATTTCGCAGCATACGAGTTCAAGGAGATGCTTAAAATTTGTCTGTACTGATCCGTCCAAGAGCCTTTATGCATTTGTAGTATTCATAGACCTCTTATACCATCCACCTATGCACTTTCAATTTACTATGCGATTAGAAAACAGAAACACTTGAAATAAATACTGATTGCACTCTACACCTTATCAACCTGCCAGGTATATTTTTGCGTCCAACGTCTTCAGTATTGCACCAATCGCTGAACAGATTTCTCAAATTATTTGATACACTTTGTGTGAAGAATGTCATTAAGTGTCTTGAATTTTCGAGTTGATTTGAATATATTACGTGTCTTAACGACCATCCGTCTCATATGTACTATATGCACCTAACATAGAATTAGGTGAACGCGATATTCTTCTATAAGAGCTGTAAATATGTCTATAAAAAGATTTTTTTCTGTGTGTATTATATGTGAAGAATTGATACTGCATTTATGATCATGTCTTAATGTATTTATTTTCAGATATCGAACCATATTTTGGTATATGATTCAGTTTGATGTTATAACTTAAATTAGATTAAATTTTGTTCCCCCAAGAATCTATTATCAAATTCAATATAGAAGTTGGAACCCTTTGAGAAAGAGCAATTATTATGAATGGATTATTTTTAAATGTTTTAATCTATATATATACTTGTGTACAAAGGAATATGAAACAAATAAAGAGCATTTCAAAAGACAGAAAGAAATTTGTATTGTATGTTATTTAATATTGTATCGTAAGTGATATTAAGACAACGACGACCCTATGCCACCTTTCCTGACATAGCAACAGCTGCTTTATGCAATCATCAATTTGACATCAAAAAAAATCTATACCAGCTCTTTCTATTTTTATATTACAGAAAATTAATATAATTTGCATTTTGATAAAGAAACAATATTTACAAATTTCAAGAGATAAATAATACTGAGAATCTCTCATTTTGTGTAAATAGGAAGTAAACTATTTCTAAAAAGTTTAATTAGTCTGCCATCTACTTTCATTCATCAATTAGCATTGTTTTTTAAAAGGGCATCAAAGCATTTTAAGGACAAAATAGATAAATTGATTAAGAACGAGACCTTGGACTTTTTTGGAGTAAACAATTTTTGTTAAAGAGGGAAAAAACAGCATCGGGCATGAAGATAAGGTGATCATCTTTGAAATGGAAAGCAGATATAAACTGTTTTTCTTTGAAAACTTCCCATAGACAATGAATGTTATATCTTCAGTCCAAAATATCAGCAACATATTCCTTATTCTGTTTATCCTACTTGTTCTATGCTATGATGTAATCTACCTGTTACTAAGACATCCTAATAATATATTTTAGAAATATTTTAAAGTTATCATTTTATTTATTTATTTATTTATTTCTGATATTTATACAGGGTGGCACATATCACCAATTTGGTGGTCTTCCATGAGGCCCTATTTGGTAATAATAAAAACAAATAATAGCATAAAAAACAAAGTAGATAAATACACAAGCATATAAACAGGTAAAATACAAATTAATTACCATATTACCATACTAGTGTGCTTAGTTCTTAATCATTAAAAAAAAATTGTTTCAAAGGTTGAGGGCCTTTCATTTTCAGAATAAATGTGGCTATTTAAATCAGCTAGTAAACATGGAAAAGATAACCCATTTACTTCTAACTTTCATTCCCAGTCTAAAAGATAATGTTGAGTTCTCGGAAAGGGGAACAAAATAATCAATTTTAGGATTCAAAATCTTCACAGAATACATCAATACATAGCTGCTACATAATCAGCCTTTTCCAATTGCTTCCACACAGTTTCTTTCACACTGCAATATCATATATCACCAGGGCCTCATTTTACAAAACTTGTCACCAGTGACAGACACATGACAGTTTTTGTTATAAGCTAGTGAAATCCTTGCTTCTGATTGGTTATCAGCAGATTTGTGACTGATTTTCGTCATTTGTCATTGACAAAAGGCTTTGTGAAACGGGTCCCAAAACTCGACTTTGTCTTTGATACAGGGTTAGCAATCGGTTAACATAGCTTGGTTAAAGACTTGTCAAGAATATGTCAGGATGGTTTAATTTTTGTTAAATTTGAGGATAATGTATGAATCTATGAAAATCTTCCAGTTCCACACTTACAGACATCAAATATTGAACATTCCTTTTAATCTTAATTGGCTTTCAGGATGGTTTAATCTTTAAAAAGTTGAGAATAATGTGTCAAGGTATATATATTCCTTCCAATTCTGAACTTGCAGACATCAAATTTTGAACATTCCCTTGAAGCTTAATTGTCTTTCAGAATGGTTTAATCTTTTAAAAGTTGACAATAATGTGTCAATCTATAAATTCCTTCCAATTCTGAACTTGCAGACATCAAATATTGAACTTTCTCTTTAATCTTAATTGTCTTTCAGAATGGCTGAATTATTTTTGAATTGAGGATAAAGTATCGATCTCTATTCAGGTCAATTCTGAACTTGCAGACATCAAATATAGAAGTTTCTCTTTAATCCTAATGTCTTTCAGGATTTTTTAATCTTTAAAAAGTTGAGAATAAAGTGTCAAAGTATATATATATATATTCCATCCAATTCTGAACTTCCACATCAAATTTTGAACGTCCCCTTTAATCGTCTTAAATATCTTTCAGGATAGAATTTTTGTTTAAAATTGAGGATAATGTATCAATCTATAAATTTCTTCCTATTCCACACTTGCAGACATCAAATTTTGAACTTTCCTTTTAATCTTAATTGTCTTTCACTCCTCCTGTGTGATTTCATAGGGTGGTTTCCACTGCCTAAGATTCTCCAACTCACTATCTACCTCCTTCTTTCTCTCAGACATGCCTTGTCTGAAGTTTCCAATAGTCTCATTCTCACCAGCCAGCATTGACCTGCAGAAAAGTAGTAAAGAAGAAGAATACTTGTTATTTGATGGAATTTCATCAGGAAGTTACAAATAATTTCTTTTTAAGAAAATCATGTGAAGAAATAAAACATGGAGTACAACTGATTTTCTGATTTTCTTTTGGAGATATGAAACTGTTAACAATTTGCCATGCTGTCTGAATTTTATGACCCCCTGCCCCCTCTCACCCTCTTCTCTCTCTCTCTCTCTCTCTCTCTCTCTTTATCTCTATTTCTGCACATTTCAAAACAATTTCCCTCCCTTCTTCTCTCTGACTTAGGACATGACTAGTAATACCCTTTTGCTATAGTTGACTGCCAGTTTTTCTCTATTTAATCTCTCTCTCTCTCTCTTCCTTTGTCTTCCTATCTAGTTATCTCTCTCTCTCCCCCTTAATAAATGTCATGTGGTACCACACAAAATACCATAGGAATATTTGATACCACAAGTATCTCTCTGACTCTCTCTATCTCTCTCTCTCTCTCCCTCTTCACCTTCCTGCATTTTCATGATGCTAAGAATCCTTTCTTTGTGTGTGACTTACATGACTTCTCTCTGCACACCTGCTGACAGCCCCTGTTCTTCTTGCGCTGCTTTGGTTCTTTCAAGTGATTCCTGCAACTCTGTAAGATGTTGCTTCTTCTTCTCACTTTCCATCTTCACAGTAACCACTTCAATGAGAAAGGGATATTAGCAGATCAAAGATTACATGAAATTTTACATTTGGTTGTAGATCTTGAATGGAAAAATGAGCATTCCACAGTCGGAAGCAGTCTGAATATATGCCCCATCTTTGGTGTAAGGTATATGCAGGAAATCCCCATGAAAATGTCTTTTGACCTTTTGTTGTTGCTCTACGTTCCCTAAACAAAACATGTTATAAGCTTTTTTCTTTCATTACCAAGCCATTACCAAGCCAGTCAAACCAGTGAGCAAGGAATTTGACTATTCTGTTAAATTTTAGAACAAGTACCACATGTATTCCCTGATACACCACTAGTAAGAGAGGCGCAATGGCTCAGTGGTATAGCAGCTAGTAATCTCGTCACCGGAAGGTCTCAGGTTTAAAAGCAATTCAATGTGCTATATTTTACCAAGGCATTAATCCTCATTACCACTGAAGAGGACTTACAGACACAGGTTCCCTGGTTGCTTACCTACAAGCATATATACACATGCTTTCTTTAATAACAGTCCGGTAAAACACACAAACCTTCAACTACCGAGTCTTTCACAGAGTCATTGGCTAGCAACCTAGACTTAATTTAGAACACTTATACATAACCCTCCATCTTACCTTCTTTATCAAGTTCTTGTGCCTTTTGCTTCATGAGCTCAATTTCATTCAGCAGCGACTCGTCTGTCTGCAAATGATGTTGTTGATATAAAGATAAATAAGAAATGGTAGTAGAAAGAAAGAGAAGAACTTTTTTAAGGGAAACATTTGGGAGCTATGGCAGACTACCATTCCATTGTTTGCAATTTTCAACATAATCATTCAAAAACAAAAACGGCTGAATTTTTTTTTTAAATCCATGTTACCTTTGAGGGTAATTTATGCATCCCCCCCCCCCCCCCCCAGCACATTTACAAAACACACTTAAATATAAACATAGAAACATATGTGCTAAATTCCTCCAGCCCATCTTTGGGCTAAAAGTTTCCAATATGCTTTATGAAGCAGTTTGACTTCTTATCACCTCCTAAACCTAAGTTAAATGATACCTTTTAGGATTGAAAGAGCAAGTTTTACTGAAGGAAATTAAAGATCTGTGAGAGATTTCCTAATGACATCATATCAAGTTATATTTCTTTCATGTAGCAGTGTAAGGTTGACAGATACAAGGAGGAAGTCTATCTTACATAGAAGTGTCTTGAACGGTGGAATTTGTCAGCCATCTGTGAAAGGTGTTCTTCAAAATCCTCGCTGTGAGAAGAGAATAACAACAAAGCCACTAGAAAATGGAATGAGCGATAAAAACTACAACAGCCACACAAAGATTTGATAAAAGACATATTCTTTTTAGCTACTTTAAACTGACCATAGGAAATAAAAATATTTAAAAAATGACACAGTATTTAATATGAATCATATTCAAATATTACTTTTGGGGATTATCTAAAGCGCATGCTCATTATACTTGTACATACCATACAGCAATGATAATAGAAAATCATATTGTATTTTATATTGTTTTCTTTGCACAGAGTCTCGATACACTTGGTAAATAACATTTTTAAAGTGCAGTTATATTGGAAATATTGATTTGTAACATATATATGAAAGAGAAATAGTAATCAGGTAGCAAATCAAAATGGTGGAAAAAGACGCGTCCAGAATGCAAACCTTGAGGAAAATTCTACATGTATTTTCATGGTATCGAGGTAGAACCATATCATTGGGAATCATTGGTAGATATTTTGATGGGAACCAAACATGTCAATCAGACATATCAAAGACGAATTTTTGCTCACCGATATCACCAACTATTATGCCTTTTATATTTAGGACATGCCTTTTTCATACCACAACATTTTGCTTATCTGCCTAAGATAGCACTATCTACACCTGATATGAAACAACTGTAAGGAGGCAGTGTGGTGCAATTGGATCGTCATCAAGCACTCATGACTTTCAACATGGGCGTACTAGGTTCAAGTCCCGCACTGACCATACAAAAAATGCAAAATAATAGTTGCCATTGTGGGTAAGCGCAGCACACCCCTCCCCTCTGTTCTCGATGCAGGCCTGAGTTTTTCTTGGACTAGAACGTTATCGGGAGGTCCGCGTGTGTAGGAGAGTTACACCCTTTGCACGTTAATACGCTGCACTTCTCGTAAACAGTAGAGTGTTAACCCGGTTTGTAGAAAACTGGTATTCTTTCGGAATTATCTTCGTGATAGGCTGCATAGCCTTTTGAAGATTAACAGAAGTAGAAGATCAGAAGTCAATTTTTTTTAAAATAGAGTATAATTACATGTCTTTAATGTGTCGTTCTTTCCCGTCCTTCATTGTATCTTCTACATGCTGTACCTGAGCTTGAACCTGGTTGTTTAAACCCAGCTGACTGTGCTCAGATCAATGAAGAAATGAATAGGGTAAGAAATCAAGGAGTAAAAATATTTGTAAGTTATATACCAATTATGTCAAAGAGAATTGAAAGAAGAAAACAAAAACAGTGTCCACTATAAAGTAACATAGCATTTACCTACAGTATATATTACTTGACACATTTTTGACACATGTGTTTAAAGCAGATGAAAGTATGATAGATGAAGACTTGAAATAGTTGGTAACATAGCTTTTTGAGAGTAAGCATGGCATTATTATTCTCTTTGAAAAAAGGTGGGTTTTTTTCTGTCTCTCATGGCTAAAGCAGACAGAACAAGAATCATTAGGGTTGCGGAGTTAATGGAAATATTAGAAGAGGGAGAGGAGAAGGAGAATTGAAGAAAAAAGAGAACAGAGAGAAACAAATAAGACAGAGAGAGGAAAGAGAGAGAGAGAGGAGATAGAGAGAGAGAGAAAAACAAATAGACAGAGAGAGAGAAGGAGAGAGAGAGAGAGAGATGGGGATAGGGAGAGAAAGAGAGAGAGAGAGGAGATAGAGAGAGAGAGAAACAAATAGACAGAGAGAGAGAGAGAAGGAGAGAGAGAGAGAGAGAGAGAGAGAGAGAGAGATGGGGATAGGGAGAGAAAGAGAGAGAGAGAGAGAGGGAGAGGAAGAAAAGGACGGAGAGACAGAGACCGAGAGAGCATTGTGAAGTAGGATTGTTTACATGTATATATTCAAACAGATTTTACAGATGGTATCAGAAGGTGAGCTACAATTGTTATATTATGAATACTTATTGTACAATTTTAGATCACATCAAGTACAGAAGCTAGGAACAAATCATTTTCATTTCAACAGTTTGCAGAGGTTCTTATAATTCACCATTCAAGTCAGTTCTCAAACAGGATGCATTATTTTTCTCACTCACTTACCCGTCAAGTTCAGTCTGAGACTGTTGAACTTTATGCTGTGCTATCTTCAAGGTCTCATTCAGTTTTGAAATTTTCTCTGCCAACTGGTTATGCTTTACAGAAGCTTTATTGCATTCAACAAATAAGAATAAAAGAAAAATCATTGTTACAAAAGAATAGTAGACTGTTTTATTCTCTTTCACATTTGATCTGTATGGATCTTTGGCAGAATAAAACTCACAGAACATTGCATCGGTAAGCCTTCCACAAATTTTAATTTAGGACTTGATATAGGTTGATCATTTTTTTTTAATTGTCTCAACTTGATTTTCATTTGATTCGATAAAACAGAGATCCAATTAGATTTAAGAAACTTAAACAAGACTAAATGACCTAGAGAAGGTACAAGTAGGTACATAACTATAAGACAGTTTTCAAAGAGTTGCACACTTTCTGTTTTATTCGAGTTTGATGGTTTAGAAATTAATTAAGAAAACACACATAATTTTACTCACCACTTTCAAACTTCTTTGCCAGAGTTTTCCGTTTACTTCTCACCTCTCTCAGTTTCTGCTCATTCCTTGCTTTCTCTAATACAGGAACAAAAATGAAGTGATGTAGGAAATGTTAGACACTCACAATTATGTAGACTTCATGTATCCTGACTTTATTTACAGGCTAACCCAGATGTTGTGTGTCCGGACAGGTTTATAATTTATATCCCGACAATCAACACGAGACAGTTGATTAGAAACAGGAATTTGAAGAAGTTTACAAGCAATATTTTATAAATCTTGTAAGAATCATGTTGGACAATGTCATAAAGGACAAATGTTCATGATGGTTAATGCTATTTTATTAATATTGTCTGTCAAATTCGAAGACAAAGAGAACTCTTTAAAGACCTTATTTGTGTTAACTGTACGGCCACCCAATACCCCTTGCATACCAGTGCAGCCGCGGCCGACCGCACAGCAGGCACGCACAAAAGCACCGTCACTGGCGGTCCGAGTGGACTAGGCTAGACTACTTCTCAATCTTATGAAGATAACGAACTACGAAGTGAAACAAGAAATTTGGTAATACACACACATGGATCTAGTGAAATTTCACAGATAAAGTTGATCCATACAGTTTTGATTTACCTTGTTGAAGTTCATTGATGCTTTTGGTAAGAACCTCCACATGAAATGCATTTCCAGCCATTGTTTCAACAATATCAGCGCGATATCGAGCACGCGATCTGTGAATATCGATTAATTAAGGTTACGGCCACTGATCTCTACGGATTTTTCCGTAGAGATCAGTGGTTACGGCCGGATAAACAGCAAAATAAGGAAGGGGGAAGAGATGGGGGGGGGGGGGGGGGGCATGCACACCACTCGTATTAAGGAATAAAAATTGAGAAAGTTCCTGGTCGACAGATCTCGCCCGCACTGTTGCATTTCACTGTGTTTCCTTTAGCTTACTCAATTTTTTATGCCGTCTGTATAAATAATAGGTGAAATATTAATCTTTGTATTTTGATTAGAAGACGTCTTTGCTTTTCTAAAGCGGATCTTGCAATAATTTTAATGGAATTCTGTTTCGAGAAAAGTTTGTTGAAAGGGACTATTGGCGAATCCACGAAGGCCACTCCATTCCTCCACTCCTGACAAATATTATTTTGACTGTCACTTAATTGCTGCTTATTATTATTATAGGTTCAATGACTTTCGTAATTTAATGAAGAAGAAAATGCCCCCCCCCCCCGGTTCACTCTTGGGTACGCCTGTACTTTTCCCTTATCACCTCTTTCATTCTACTCCTCCTTCTTCCACGCTTCTATACCCCCGCCCCTCTCCTTTTCGCACGCCTACACTGCCCCTCTCTCCTTCTCTTCTCACATATTCTTCATTTCTCTTTAGTCATGTTATTTTTTCTTATATAGTTTTTGTTTTCTCTCTCTCTCTCTCTCTCTCTCTCTCTCTCTCCCTCCCCCCCCCTCTCTCTCTCCCTTCTCCCACGCGTACACCGCCCCTCTCTCCATCCCATTCTCTCTTCTCACGTCTTCTTCATTTCTCTTTAGTCATGTTAGTTATCCTTACATCTTTCGCTCGCGCTCTCTCTCTCTCTCTCTCTCTCTTCTCTCTCTCTCTCTCTCTCTCTCTCTTTCCCCTCTCCTTCTCTAACGCTTACCCCCTCCTTCATCTCATTCTCTCTTCTCACGGCTTTTTCATTTCTCTCTATAGTTTTCCTTCTCTCTCCTCTCACCCACAATAATTAGCTAGAGGCAAGTTAACGCAGGCGCGGATCCACGGGGGGGGGGGGGGGGCGGGGGACGGGCCCGCCCCCCTGGCTTTTTTTTTTTTTTTTTTTTTTTAATAAAAAAAAAGTTTTCGGGGTCAAATACAAAAAATAAATGATGCATACTCCCCCCCCCCCCCTCACTTAGCGAGATATTGGTCGGCACGATTTTCACATTTTCGAGGTCAAATACGAGAGAAAAAAATTATGATCACTACCCCCCCCCCCCCCCCCCCCCACCACCACCACTGAGCGAGATATTGGTCGGCGATTTTCACATTTTAGCCCCCCCCCCCCCCTATCGGCAAATCCTTGATCCGCCCCTGATTTAACGCTTAATAATTATAGCCAATAATAAAGCACAAAATCATTATTATTACAATGACATAACTTTTATTGCCTATAGTATAGCGATAATTACAATGATCTATGATTATCATAATTTCAAAAATATAATTCTAACATCCATTCACCTCTTATATCTCAACTGATATAAAAAAGAAATTGATTAAGATTGTCGTCCTTAAATATTTGACATAAAAACCATCCACAGTACCCTGGAGAATGCATATTTTACAAAAATGTTTTTCCATACGACCAATTTCGATATAAATATTGGCAAATCCCATAATACATATTCCAGTAATTTAGTTTAGGAAAAAGGAATATTGAATAATGTTGTCCTGCAATACATTGTGATTTTTTTTTTAAATCTTTGGAAGTTTGTCAAATTTAGGGAGTAATACTTACAGAAGAAAGTGATATAATTTGAAAAGATATTCCTTTTCCCTTCATTTGGGAGTCTGAATATCATTTTTTTAATGAAAATAAAGGTGAGACAATCAATATTTTATGTTGGGCATAATACAGCCTAACTTACCAGGATTTATAAAAACCAAACACTAATGAAATTATTAACAATAATTATTAAGAGTGTAAATTCAATGCATGTTATCATGAACCCTCCCCCCCCCCCCCACCCCCTTTAAAAAAAATAAGATCCCCTTTTCAGCACAACAGTTGCTGTGATTCTTCTGCATTCTGGATTATACTCACTTAATATATTCATAATTTGATAATTTCCGAATATAATTAGAACTATGCAACACAATGCATCTTGTTATCATAAACGTTGATTATTTATTGCACATAAGCCCTTAGTATGATAATGGTGATAAAGTGTTTCAATAAACGACTAATATTCTCTGATTTTCTTTTTTTAGTGGGTAGTACGACAACTACATTTTGTTTACTTAACTTTCTGGCTTTAAGCACGATCTTATCGAGTCAAGCAGGTCTAAAATTAATGAGATCACTCAATATTGTAGGGCTACTGAAATACCGGACAAGCCAGATTAATAACGTGTCCATTAATAATATTAATGTCCATTGTCTGAAACAAACAAACTTATCAATAACTTCAAAATTCTGATTATTATTTTTTTAGAGTTCTGATAACATCATTACATAATACAAATCCTGATTAAATTAACCAGAGGGTCATAATCTCGTGATTGTCTAAATCTTCAGATTAATTGGAACCATTTTGATTGAAGGATCGCAAAAACATTCAAGAAACCAACTCATTGCTATTCATTTTCAAAGGATTCAAAATGATTGGTCATTGTAATGTTTGCTCATTTCAAAATGTGATGGCTACTGGATTTGCTTTCAGCTGATTTCTCGAAAGCCTTTCCTATCGTCTTTGATGTTTCATAATCAAAGTTTTGTTCGGCTCGTCTCATCGTGGCACTGGAGGCTGATTGTATTTAATTGTTTCAGAATTCAGTTTCCGATCATGATGGCGGGATTTGTCGATGCCACACTATAGTTCTGCTTCATCAACCATTGATCCAAACTAACAATTACAAGGCCCTCTATGTATTCCGCTCTCTCATCTCGTCCAGATATAGCTACAAAAGGCATTTGTGAATAACGCTGACATCTTGGATTAAAGGGGATAAATTGCATACCCTTGATAGTTTTATTTCAATTGTGACGAAGTGACGATCGCGATGAACCGGGCAGTGGAGAACTTGTTCATGCATGGTCTTTGATCACTTCCGAATCGTTTCCACTTAAGTCTTTACCTGCTGTCAATGGCAACATAACACTTTTGAAGAAAAAAAGTTAATGTTGTCTCGGGCCTTTGCAAACAGATCCCCCAAATTAAATCACCATCCTACCCTCAATTCTCGGGCCGCCAAGCAGAGAGGTAATACGGAGCATGCGACAACAACGCAGTTAAGAACAGACCGAGAAAGACGCCCCCAAACGTCAAGAGCCAGACAGTTCCCGAGTCGTTTCTTTTGCGGCGGAACGTCCGCAGGAGATCCGTCTAAATGGAAAAAGAACAAAAAAATTGAAAAGATATTTTAAAAAATAACTCGTAGATACTACAAAAGGGTAGGGTCATAAATGAAGGGACTAAACTTTTGCCAATTATCCTTGATACAATAATTTATTTATAAACGTATCAATATTAGACGGGTTATGATTCACAAAATACACTCCACCTATTTCTTATATTTATAGGCCTATAACCGCCTAAGTTTTGTAATTTTGGAATGGGTCTATCATCCCCCGTAAAGAGTGCCTATATACACAGTCACACTCATAAAAGAAGTACATGTATTATTCCGAAACTCGGAGACACTGTTTGCTATTTCCACACACTAAAATATGATCGTAGATTCTGTTTACCTTAATCTATTGGACACTAAATCTCTTACCTCTAAAATAGTTCAAATTTACATTTCCCTAATAGCGCGTCATTTGGCGCGTTCAAATAAAATTGGCCTCTTGCAATTTTTATCACTTTACCACTGTTTTGCAAACGTATACTCAGGGGGACGGACAAACACAATATTATCTACCAAAGTGATGAAAAGATAAAAACAACATGTTTATTTCACTCGATGAGGGTTTTTTTCTTCTTTTACTTGCCGCTTTCCTTTGTGCCAAAAATAGCTCAATAGAATCGGAAAATAACCTCTATCTGATAAAACACCAATTACATTTTTATCATTCCATCAAATTTGTTAGGGCGAGTTATTAATCTAGTGCTGTAATCAGAATAAAATAAATATTCTAATTATAACATGCCAAAGGGGTGAAAAGAAATGAATGCATGACTCTGATGCAATGTGTGATTACAATCATCTCCGAGGCCTCTCGAGACAGACTATCAACGGCCTGGGGGAACATTTATTAGGGATGGTTGGGCATTAATCTATTTGTGTTATCATCGTAAGTTGTGGAATCACTGGTCAAGTTATCACTGGTAAATAAATAAGCAAATGAATAAATGAATAAGAATATATCATGATCATTCTTAATACATAAGCCTTTACAAGCTTGCTTTCATGTAAGTCCCATCATATTTATCTCAGTTAAATCATTACTCTATATTGACCTTTTATTTTTATGTTATTTATCATGTACTATAATTGATTGTTATTTTATTACAAACAAACACACTTTAATTTTATTTTGAATTGTATAATTATGTAACATGGGAAGTATGAAAATAAATGAAATGAAAATAAATGGAATGGAACATAATACACGTATAGGTAACACTAATACATACAACTTAACCTCAACAATACACATCAAAGTACATTGCCTTGTGTAATTATGACGATACGTTATGAAAACAATGCTCTAAAAATCATTTGCAGTTCATAATCACGTAAACAATATTTACTTCGTAAACAAACACCCTCTGCTAATTATCAAAATAATTGATAATTTAATCGATCAAAGGGGAAAGGAAAATGAATACATGTAATTCTCAACACAGCATGGCATTCTCGCTAAGTTCATGGCCTGAATGGTGTCATGCTATAATTTTCTTTTAGATATTCACAGATATAAAAACCTTTCAGACTCATTCAGAGTTCAGTCTATTCCGATACAATCAAAATAATAACGCCCCTTACTAACACGAAGTTGACATTCCTAGCATGACGCCATTAATACTGGGTGGGAAGGTTTATTGGTGGGACAAAAAGCAATCGTATTCACAGCTTCAAATGCTTCAAAATGAATTCAGCAGATTGTCATCAAAGCAATGTTTCTTATTCAGACATGCATGAAATCGGATTGAAGAATGGCGGTATAACTATGACGAAAGGTTATATTTCTTCTGCAGTTCAAAATCCCGGATTAGAATATTAACAATAATTATTGTGACATTATTATCGTATACATGCAGTGACACCTGTACATAAAGACCGCTTAAGGGAAACATAAACAAGTGGTCTTTATAGGCAGGTTGTCTTTGAATACAGGTTCCTTCAGTATAGGTTTCAATGAGATACGGTAATCAGGGGGAAAAAAGGTAGTCTTCATAGGCAGGTGGTCTTTCTATACAGGTAGTCGCTATAGCAGGTTTGACTATCAATGGTAAAGGTAATCAGTTCTATATACTACGCAGATCTTTCTATACTTTTTATTGAGAATTCCATAATTCTTTGCAAAACAGTAGTAAATATTCATCATAATTATGGTGAACATAATAATTGTCTCCACTTATAGGCTGAACAGTGTGTACGGTTCATCGACATATAAGCACCCACCCCCTCTTCAACAAAAAAGTCCATGACCTAAACAGGTTTATAACTTGCCACACCAATGAGCTTGAAATTACTTTCATGGCTTTTGATCATCTTGTATATGGGCAATGGCCCGTTAGAAAATCAATAGGAACTTTGTGGTTTACTATTTCGCTAGCTTTGCGATGTGCTTCTATATACTATTCAACACTACTTATTGTGACTAACTTGTTCGCATTCCAACACGAAACCAAATACAATACCATATTTTTTTCACTACCGTCACTTCGTGAAAACAGCGACGATATATTATATGCCGGATACAAATATATAAGAAAGCTGTGAATATACGAGAATGTACTGAAATCATATTGATATGTATTATGATATTTAACATGCATGTATGATAATGTAAGGCAATGTAATCTGATGTATTAAAATGTTGTGTAAAGTAGTGGAATTTCGTGTTTAATATCATATACAAGTACATGTATAAACCAATTATTTACGTGTACAATGCATACTTCTTTCTTCACATGTCGCTTTATTATTATTATTATTATTATTATTATTAAACAAACAAAGCAATTTAAGCATCCAATAATTGGGATTGGATGTAAAATAACACAATAACCAATCGGCTAACACCATGTACCAAAAATGACAGCCGATCATGATTAGATTTGATACAACATTGCTCTGTATCCATGGTAACTATTTTGTTAAATGCAAAACAAGAAATTTATATTGTTCTTTCGTTATTACGTGCAGTGATGTATTATATGAGAAAAATTCAAGCAGGAGTAATGTTTCCTGAAGCTCACAGTAATTTACAGTGTTGGCATGAGGATAGTGATTATTGTTTGTCAATTACAGACAATAAAATGTCTCTTGCAATTTGACGAGCTGTAATGTAGGAATGTATGCGTTGCATTTGTAATCATCAATATTATATTATAGGACCAATTAAAAATACATTTTTATCTTTAGCATTTTAACTGTATTTTACTACTATTACTACAGCCACTACCACTATACCACTACCACTAACACTACTACTACTACTACTACTACTACTACTACTACTACTACTACTACTACTTCTACTACCACTACTACAACAACTACTACTATTACTATACTACTACTACATTACAACTATACTACTACTACTACTACTACTACTACTACTACTACTACTATTACTATACTACTACTATATTACAACTATACTACTACTACTTCTACTACTACTACTATTACTACTACTA